TTTGCACTGAAACAAATAATTCGAAGAAAATCTAAATCCGTATGAAAACCATCTCCGTGCCTGCATTAGCGTGAAGTGGATGACATGCTCTCGACGGATTAATGTCCATATTAGTCATGCATCAAAAGGTCTCAAACGGCATTGTGAAGCGGCCCTCCTGCGATTTAACTTTGAAAAATGCGAGCAAATTACACGCGATCACAAGAACTAAGAGCTTCTTGACCTATTTACGTCCATATTAAATTACAATCTCGTCAATTTATGCTTATGGTATACTTTAATAATTTGCCCTTTAGAACGTTATTATAAAGCTCAGTTTTGCTGAGGTTAATTGATAGATGTTAATGTGATATTGACAGAATTCATATCAACTATTTGTTTATTACTAGAGATCCGCATGTTTCCTTTTTGTTATTTGATTACAAACTAAACAGTTATTTAATCCAACGTACTGTCATACAGTAATGCCACGCACACACAGTAAAACCACGAATTAGTGAAAGTCCATGCTTGCCAAGAATATTAATCAAAACAAGCAGCATAACGCTGCCAATTTTTTTCGCTTTACTTCTACTTTCTCTTCCACAAGAGAGGCAATCCTAAGAATTCAGCGTCGTTCTAAGCAGAAGTTAGAAGTTGTTTCTATAGGCCGTCATTTCTATCGTCACCCCTTAAGTACCGATTCTCCTTATGGTGTTTTCCTCAGTACGAAGAACAACCAGAAAAATTCAGCAGAAATTAGAAGTTGTTTTTAAATGTCATCATTTCTATCATCAGCTCTTAAGCTCCGACGCTGAACATAAAACTCCTTAGCTCTCCTTAGCTCCTTACTCTCGCTTAGCTAAATAATAAAAGAAATAAGAGAGTAGGTTTTTCCTCACCTATGGTGAAGCTAAAAAAAGAATTCATTTAAGGTAAAAATCTGACAAGAGTTAACTAGGCTGACTTATTTATACTAAACGTAAGATTTTAAATACACTCCCTTTTCTAAGAGAATCTGATGGAACTGCACTGCTGATGCTTCGATAGGGTGGCCACGAAGTGAGTAGAGTATCAATTAATATTACGAAATACTCCACCTACCCTTCGTAGGAGAAATGGTGTAGCCAAAGACAGAAAGGCAGAAATGTCGATTGAGCTTGGGGACTGATCCTTGGGACTATAGTCTTCGCTTAATGGATTCAAGGAATCTATTAGCTCAAAAAGATGAAGACCGTGAAGGAAGGTGTATACTATATACCTGCCGCTAGTGTGCGGTCGACGCTGGTCTGGTCGCGGATGTATAAGCGTTCCAGTGACGCTGATGAAATGTGTCGAAGGTGGAACATCGTGGTATTATGACGATCCACTATCCGATATCAACCTGTAGATATCGCAAGAAGAGACAGGGGAAAATTTTATAGGAGATAGACAGCAGCAACTTCCTGATGATGAAGACAATGAATACTTGATTGTCACTACGTGTTGTTAAATTACAATAAAACATCGCCAAACTGACCTTTTCTATCTTAGCTTTTATAAATTAAATGTAATTTTTTTTCTGCACGTTCAGCAGCATTTATTAAAATACTCTAATAGCTGTGCACGGTCAGGCAAGGTGCATCAAACCACATATCTTCCATTCTTGTATGAATTCAGATTTTTCGACATCAACTACATTAAAAATTTCGTCCATAATTCCTCCTCAGAAAAATAAATTAATGTTTAAAAACATTCTGGTTTTTTACGTAGAACCACAGAAAGAAAATATTATTCAGCTTAACCAACATTTGTCGTCGTATAAAATGTTCACACCCATTCCTTTCCTTTTCAAAAGCTTTTCTTTGACTCAGTGATCGCTCACATTATAGGAAACATAACTGTGACATTGCAGATTTGTATACATTTTTATTACTAATATTTCTTTTCTTAATTTTAAAATGGAACTAAAATATCACGCTATACGGCGTCTTATCTTAATTGAATTAGACTTTCTGTGTACAATGGGCTCTAAAATTTTCCTTTTACCTTTTATAAGACGGACAAGAAAGCAACTTATTGGTTTTCTCATAATAAACGTTTTAGTGATTTGTACAACTATTCAGTTATTTCTCACTTTATGTCTTACTGGCTTTAAAGATTGGTTTGAAATTATTAACATTGCTCCAAATTTAGGGGTCTGCGTTATAGCTTCAATAAAATATGCTAAAATACATAGACATAGAGAAATTTACAATCAAATATTTTGTCACTTTCGTGATGATTTATGGAATGTTTTTTCAATGAATTCAAAGTCGCATCAAAAAGTTGTAAAGAAGTATAGTTTTATATGTAGGGTTGTTAATAGATTTATATTTTATTACACATTGCCCCTTGTAATTGTGGTCAACTCTTTTCCGTTCCTTGTAATGACGTATGAAAACAAAGTGTTGGGTAAAGATTTACAATATCTGTATCCTTTTAACGGGTGGTACCCATTTGATAAAATTAAATGGTACTGGAGTGCGTACTTATGGGAAAGTTGCATGACGGCACTGGTGGTTTGTGTCTATGGGTTTTCAAATATAATGCAAGCGACATACATCATATTTATTTGTATGGAGTTGAAAATTTTAGGACACAGTATGGAAGAAATAATAAGCACGGAAGACGTAAAAAATCTACAAAGTGGACAGCCTTCTAAAAAAATTCATGAACGGGTTTTACATCAGTTAAAACGTATAATTGCACGACATCATTTCCTTGCTAAGTAAAAATCGTTCTCTTATTTGAAATAAGCAATATTTAAAAAGTAAAAATAGCACTGTTTCTGTTATTATTTATATTTAAGTTTTGACTATTTTAAATACTATTTAAAAGTTTGAAATCTTTTAAGAAATGTTATGCGGAATGGCGGGACATCCTGGCCCAGTTATATATTTACTTTAAAGGATGTCCGAGCAACAGATTAATTTATCTATTTTTACAAACCATGTATTAATAATACAATAATAAATTTAAAACGATCATTTTAAAAACGAGCACTTATTAAAGTTTATTTTTTAGAATATCATCATCACTTGACAACGTTTTAGGTGACGCAATGCTTCTGAACTACTCTCTTGGTGCTGTTTTTATTTGTCTAACAGCATTTACTTTTACGGTAAGACAAATATTTCTTCCTGGATATTAGTTCAAATGTTTAATTAGGATAGAATATTTTTTATGGCCACTAAACAAAACAACCAAAGAAAAATCCTTAAAATTTATTTAAAGTAATGGCGACTTATATTACAGGTGGTGGATGACTTTTACCAGTCTGTTCGGTATTTTTCTTTCTTCGTGTCTTTACTTGTAGAAAGTTTCAATCAATGTATTATTGGTCAAGTTTTAAGTGATCACGTAAGTATTAAAATTAGTTTAATTTTATCATAAAAAATGTTATAATTTTATGTTCATTTCTTACAAATTATTTTAGAAATAGCGAGCTGTATACTTCGTTTTTAAGAAAAAGATTTATACCTATATATCTCTTTTGTCGTCTTTTTTTTCTTCTTTTAATCATAGAAATAATATATATATATATATATATATATATATATATATATATATATATAATATATATTAATAATACCTGCTCAGATGCTTTAGAATATATTATGTTTTCTGTATTAAATGGTTAATTACATCCTATCGAAAGTCTATTGTTGAATTTAGATGTCTATGTAGTAGCCACGCTTGGCAAGCGGGTTGTCAGCCGCAGTTTACAGAAAAATTTATTTCTGTTATTTTAATACTATATTTTTCTTGGATGATCCCCTCTATATGGAGTGACAACCCGATGAAACCTGCAGGTAGTTGATACACTTGCATCCATTTACTACCGACCCGTAGTTGGACCACAATGGGTTCAGCAGCGGACTTGTGATGGGCTATAGTAATAGTTATAGTGATTCATATTATTAATTGCGGTGCTTCTCTTTCAAATGGCACAGTTTGGGGAGTCCTAAATCGTAGCAGATACAGGGAAACTGTCTTGAGAATCATTAGGACTTCTTTAAGAAAATAAAGTTGGCTAAATGAATTGTCAGTGAAGATTAAGTTTCGCATAAAATAATAAAACTGATATATTTTCACGTCAATCCACAAATTTTTCTGAAAGTAACATTTTATTACTTTAGATATTATACCAAGGAAAAACTATAACATCAGAAATTTGTCAAATTTAGTGTTATAACTATGTTTGTATTCGGATAGATGGATAGATTCATCAACAACAAAAATTATATAGGATGACGATATCTCCATGAAGATTTATTTATTTAGTTATGATGTTTTCGTGTCTGTCATCTTGCAAAGTGTTAGTAGCGTCAGACAATCCACAACCTCATTAAGAGTTATATTTTTTTACCAATTTCTGCTGACCAGATTTTATATTCCCATACAATGAGAGAATTGAATAGTAAAACTGGTAAAACTTTGTTGATTGACCAGAAAATAAATTTGTCAATTTTATTAATTATCAAAAAAAATCTTTATCATCTTCACAATTAAAGCCTATCAAAAGTACTCTGCAGGACGAATGCCCCCATAAGAGGTCTCATAGGGGGATACTTGCCGTAGATGCTATGCTTGGCTGGCGGGTTTTCAAAGCAATGCTACTGGTCTTTCCCTATTTCATTTACCTCTGTTGCCTCTTACGAGGTAGCCATTATACCGCTTCAATATTTTTTCCGTAAAAACTTAATGGTTCTTTAGACAGCTGCTTCTCTGAATTTAAAAAAAATTGATTATTAATACTTTTTAAAGACTGATTAACATTTCTACTTATCTTAATTTCTTCCGAAAGTAATTTGAACAATAACTAATACGAAATTACTTATTTTTTTTAAATAATTTTGATATTTTTAAAGTTAAATAAATATTAGGTGCTTTAGATGTCATTATGTTATGTACTATTAATGTCAAGATATATCAGGTTTATAAAACAATACTACAACTAAATACTTGAGTGTTTCATTTGGATATTTTCATAATTACAGAGTGAAGAATTGACAGAATCAATTTACTCTGCTGATTGGCCGAATGCAAGTCCAGAAGCTAAAAAGATCATGTTAATGTTCATGGTGCGAGTTCAAAAACCATTTCAATTGACAGCTAATGGCTACCGTACAATGAACTTAAATACTTTTAGCGCTGTAAGTTTCTCAGAGTTAATATATTACAAGTTAGATCAATAGTAAGTTACTTTTAAGATGTACTTCAGTATCGAAGAATATTGTCACAGCTTTACTTATTTTGTTCTTCCATTTACAACTCTTTCATTTCAAAGCTTTTAGATTATACATACTGTGGTCGTCTCACTGTACCTTGTAATCTAAAAGTGTAGTATACTAGAATGTGAATTTTGTTTTATACATAATCTCACGCAGATGGTAGCATCCAGCTACGTTATATATCCACTCGAATGTCGGGGTCGTTTTGGCAAATATGGCGCATCTGTCGAACACTTTCCGAAGTACTAAGTATATAACAAGTATACTAAGTATATAAAAGTAAAAAAGTAAAGTTACAGCCTATATACGTCCCACTGCTGGGCACAGGCCTCCCCTCATTTCTGAGAGGGTTTCAGGGCAAGGAAGTGTCCGCCGCGCTGCCCCAATGCGTGTTGGCGAACTTCACAACATGTCTTCGAAATATTGTTTTTCTTATTCCTCAGACATGCAGGTTTCCTCACGATGTTTTCCTTCACCGGCGAGCACGTTGTAAATTAGCACTTAAAATTGCAATTAACAATTTCATTGGTGCCGGCGGGGATCAAACCCGGGTTACTCGTTCTGTTATATTTACAGCGAGCGCTAACCATCTGATCTACCACGGCTCTTATATATATATATATATACATACTAAGTAAGTATATTAAAATCATATATCAATGGAAACGTTATTAAATAAGCTATCAGATTATGCATAACAGATATATATGTTATATATATGTATGTTATATATATTTTATATATGTTACAAATAGTTTGCTATCACTCGACGCCATATTATGGCGTTTGACAGATGCGCATATTATTTGAGACGCCAGAATATGGCGTTTGGACAGACGAGGGGTTATAGAGTGCGATTTATTTCATCAGTCTCGAGAGTCAGTCTCGATGAAAATTGGTATTACATTTCAAATCAACTATAAAATGATTTTCTTCTGCATAAGTTAAAAGTTAATAAGGTAGTAGTCATTGATCTTTTTGTTTGTTCTGTGCAAGAGAGGCCATATTTCCAATAAAGTTTGTAGTTTTATGCGACCTCGTTGGTCAAGATTTTAATACGATATATTTTTTTAAATATGTGATAAAAACTATAACTTAATTTTCAAAGAAAATATGAATGAACGAAACCCTCCACACCCGAGAAGCCTAATTTTTATTGCTTAGTCATTCCAGCTTCCAAAAGAAACTAATATACAAAAAATATAACAAAAACTTAATTTTAATGAAAGGTAAAAACTGATTTAAAAACCCAAAATGAATTATATTATTTCCACATAAGATCTTCTTAATGCGGTACTATAGTGTATGCAGAAACCTGTATTAAGTATTATTATATATTATTTTTAATTTTTAAAGAAGTTTTTTATTTTTTTATTTCAAGCCTAATTTTTTACTCTTTCAATTTGACTAAGTAATATCGTAAACTAAGTTTTTTTATAGGATAGAGTGGCAAACGAGCACATAGTCCACCTGATAGTAAGTGGTTGCTGTGGCCCATAAATATCTACATCTATTCTCGATTACGAATAAAAATGTAGTACGTTGTCACCCATGAGGACCAAGATGGAATGCCTCGTTTCCTGTAAAAAGGGTCACCGGTTCTCTACACTGACCATACGAAACACAGCAGCATTATGCTACTATTTTAAGCTGGTATTCCGTGAGAGCGTGGTCCTTCCCCGGTCGAGCCTACCCATTCATGCTACGACTATACTACTAATATAACTGCAACATGGCTCTACCACGTATAAAACTAGAATGCCGCCTCTCAGTATATTAAGAAGCAAAATCAAAAGTAATTTTAATTAAAAAGTGATGTACATACACTCTGTAAACACCAGGAACAAACACAAGCTAGTCATACTGTGTGTTCTAGTGTGGTGTGTGTAGTGGTAGTGTGGTAGCTAGTCAGTCATATTAGACTCCACAGAGTCTGTAATTCATTCATGATGCGATGTATATACTACTACAACAATGTTCCTGAAAATACACAAGGTCACTGAATCACAAAATTTAAATTAATATTAAAAAAAGACTTCATGAAAGGATTATTATAAAATAAAAGATTATATGGTTGAAAATAATTCATGCGAATGAGGTGATCGCTTCTAAGCTATTGTTTGAATAATTTTTAACTAGTTTTTACAATCTGATTTCTTATTGTATGATTTTGTTTAAAACAAGATCTCACTGGTTTTCTTGATGATTATTGCAACAACGGTGATTTCTGCCGAACCAGTGATGGAAGTAATAAAGTTTATATAAGTGTAAAAATATATTAAAAAGAATTGCTTGTATATTTGTATCGATTAAAAAATTATTATACTATTCTCTTTAGAAATGCTTGTAATTTCCGGATCTACACATAATTAAATTGGTATGTAGTAATTTAACAGATTTTTTATATTGTTGCAGATTTGTAGCACTTCGTACCAGTTCTTCAACTTATTACACACTGTATATTATTAAATATTTATAAAGCGTATAATTAAATTTACTAACAAGCAGTTGAACGAATAAGAAATAAATTTAGATTTTGAATGTGTGTTATTTTTTTACCAACCATATGTTTCCCATCGATTGCCGTGCGATAGGTCTTATTTCGTTCTAAGAATATCGTACATATGTTACTAAGTAAAATTACCAAAATAATTCTTTGGCCTCTGGTTTATTTATACTCCGACTGCCATAAGTATCTCGTCTTTCTTAAAGTGTAAGATATCTGGTGAAAAGATCACCATTCATTTCACTAAGATACTCCATATTAATGGAAGAGGCCAGTGTCCAGCGGTGGACTGAAATGTGAAATCGTTCTCATCCAAAATAACGGGGTGACAAGGACAGAAGAGCAATGCTTAGTATAAAACGTCGTTTTACGAATTAGGATTACATTTTTAATTAATCTACGGTAATAAAAACACAGCATCGTAATAAAATACTGCTTCCACTTCTCCACTTCAGCCGCATCACCGCTGGATTTACAGTGCGTTATCGACAAAGTCGCGGAGAACAAGGTGAGTGAGATCGTGCTTCTCTCACGACTCTTTCTCAGTTTCAGAGGTCAGGATGTAAGATCAATCCATCCCCCGAAATCTACTGTACCTTATCCTGAGTGAGTTGGTAAGCCCAGATTTGTAACCTCTTTTCGGCCCCCAATTCGAGCCAAATATGCGAATCCGATTTAGGGGGAAATATATCAAGACCGATTTTATCATATTTTTTTTGTTTTTTTTTTTTATTAGCAATGCTATAAACATTACTAATATTCCCCTTAACCACTCGTGGTAAGCTTAATTTGCTTGTCTTACGACTGGTTCACGCCAGTAGTCGAATGGCGGATTCGAGCCCACGACCTTTTGAGTTCGCGGTCCGCGCCCTGCCATTAGACTACTGTAACTTTCGATTTTAGTTATCTTTTTATCTTTATTACTATCAAAATTAACCTTTAAATTAAGAACAGCTAGCAGGTCAGCCACGTAAGTCTATATACGAGGATCTAGGGGAAAAATTATGATGTCTTCCTATGGTGTTGTATCTTGGTCTTGTAGTTTCGGGGCGGAGGGACCGGAAAAAAAAAAATTTTTTTTTATATTTTATCATATGCAACTTAACAGCATTATTTCACTCAAGTATTCTGTACTAGAGTGGTCCTTCCCCCGAATAGCCGTCCGTACTATATAACACCGCAGTGCGGCTTTACCACGTATATATTGTTGATCTATATTCTTTTTCCTATTCTTTACTCTATGACTTCTCTAAATAGAATTCTGCCAATTTTATGTCGGTAATAGGAGTGATAACAATCTACATTGGTTTATCTAGAACTGACAAACTTTTCTCGTGTTATCGTTTTATGTTTAGATACCTATTAACTACATTTTAGCTCATTTTGTTATTAAAAATATCATTTCATCTATTTTCTGTAGAGGTGTTATAAACAGTTGTCATTATTATGGTCGGTATTTTGATAATCCACATCTCTGTTGCAAGCCATTGTTGATTTAACGATTAAACAGTTTCTCTTTCTAAACGTTCCTTATAATGGACACTTCGGACCTGCTGATTGTATCTTACAGTGTATCAGTGGGTTGTATTCAGATCTTTGAGACTAAGTACTCGTAATATTTCAATAAATTAAACAAGTTGACCGCTTATAAAATATTCGACCTCTCATTGAAATTTCCCAAGAGAAAATCATAAAAAACAACTAAATACTTTTTTAAATTTAATCAATTTTTCGATTATGTTAGTATAGTGTAGTGATAAACAATATTATGCACAGTAAATTTAAAAAATGACAAGATATAACATAAATACAAAAAACATGATAGGGCAAAAAACTGCCTCTAATATTAAATGAAGTTCCGGTCAAAGCTACCCCATAAAATCAATAATGTATTATAATATAGTATATTGTAGTAGTAAGTAATACCATATTGAGGTAAATTTGCTCTAAGTAATACTAAAAGGGAGAAAAGAAGAGAGAAAGGAAAAATCAATTACTGAATAATCTGTGGATATTATAAATAAAGTTTTATTATTGTACAATATGTTTATTATTTATAATAGCGTCACGAAATATCCCCACGTGTAATATTCATGACATAGTAATAAATCATTATCAACTTTAATATTACATAGTAATTATTTAATTACCTTTAATCATATATAAAGCATCTTTTAAAAATCGTATGCCACAACTTAACAACCCAGAAAATGGGTCCGAAGACTTATTTCACAGTTTTCTTTATATTAGTTTTTAGTTCCGTTATATTAGCTACACGTTCAAAATTAAAGGAACCAGGTAAGTATTATTACTCACAGTCAAGAGATTTTTAACTCTATATAATTTTGAATATATGTAAAGACTGTTTTTAATATGTAATTATGTTCTTGTATATTTTTTTACTTCTATGAATAATTTCTAATACTCTATTTCCTGCTGCTGTAATATTTTTTTTCTATTATATAGTGTTATGTTAATCAACTGCTGTATTCATTATCTGTCCTACATATTTTGGAAAAAATTGCCCATAATTTAAGTCTTCGTATTCTTATTAAATCAAATTAAATATGCCTTGGTTAATTAGTTGTAAGATTAAATTAGATTTTTTTGCTATGTAAGAGCACGGAAAACTTACGATTAATTGTCAAGATCATTTATTTGCCGCATTCCCACTTTTTTATTTGTAAATTTCAAATTATTAAAATGGGAACATTTTCTGCTTATAGACTTATAAAGGAAAAAAGAACGATTTATTTTATATTTTTACAAATAAGCTTTTCAAAAAGAAATTAAATGAAAGCTGAAAAACCTTTGGGAATTTAAAATTAATTTAAATGTAATTATACTTTTTATTATTTGGTTGTTGCCATTATTTACTTCATTTGGTGATACGGCTTGTTTTCTGCCAAGTGTCTATCTGGTTATGTTTTAAGTTAGTTATCTGGTGGTTTTTCACAGGACAGATATTTTTCTCGAACCAGTTGTAAAATCATAAATTACTTTCATTAAGTATTCTTGAATTCTAAATTGGATAAAAATATTCTTTTTTGTAAAAAAGACGACACGAATTGGCAAACCAGTATTCGCAAAACTAGGACACATCTTTTAATAAATATTTTATACTTATAATTAATACTTATCAAAAGTACAAGGTGGATATTGCAAGTGATGAGCTAAAAATCGAGCTAGTTATGTCAATGTTACCTACAACTTGATTAGACATCCAAGATTTTGATTATTGACGGTAGGATAGAATTTAGCAGTTGACTTGTTATAATAATGTGAATAATTAACAGCCTAAATACGTCTCATCGCTGGGCACAGACTTCCTCTCATTTAAAGAACTATATGGAGTTAATTAGTCCACCGTACCTCACCATTATGTTTCGACGGACTTCAGATGTCTAACGAAATATTTTCAGTCTTCAGTTATGCTGCTTCGTTTGCCCCCTCTTCTATAAAAAAAATTCTGATTTCCTCACGATGTTTTCATCAACCTGTATCGTACTTACCATGTGATTAGCGAGTGGTAAATTAGACCTTAAAATTGCAATTAACAATTTGATTCGTGCTGACGTAGATCAAACTCGGTTTGAACCTCTCCGATATTATATATCCATTCGTCCTATATTTTAGAAATGTATTTAAATATATATATATATATATATATATATATATATATATAAACCGCATAACCTAGAAACCTTTATTAGAGATTTTCCTTCACACCCTCTTGAAGGATCTCAAAATGAAGGTGGAACAAACATAGACGGTGGTAAACATATTTTACATTTTAACTTATATTTTCCTTAATTCCTATAAAGTTCAAATATCATAAAATATTTGTTCTATTACAGGACATTATTTATTTAAACATTAAATACAAAGATATTTATAAAGCTTATTTGAGGTTAAACATAAATTACTTTTTTTATTATTATGTTACAAAACAAAATAATTTCATATTATAAATAGGAGAATCTGCGAGTGAAAAATACGACACACGTGAAAACTCGGGATCAAGCGAACGTTACGATTATTATTCAGATGAAGACTCAAATAGTTCGGAAGAATACTCGGGAAATTCGGAGTCAAATGAAGGTTCATATGAGGACTCGGGGTCAGGTGGGAGTCTAAACACAATATTTTTTTTCCCTCTCTCCGCCTAGTTTTTGTAAGTAAATATGTGAAATAGTTATTAAATAGTAAAGAATTTTTCTTTATGTTTCTGTATATTATGTATTTTGTATTTTACGTAAAAATTTAAAGTTGTCTTTCCACAAAGGTTACAAACATATTCAAATATTTTGATTTTCCTGATTCAATACTAATGAACACCGTAGTGTTAACTGTAAAACATTGGAGATAAGCTTAATAGCAAAGTCCTCTTACGATTGGCCCAATATACACTTAAAATTATATAAATTATAATTATTAATATTTTGTAAGAGAAAGAAGATTTTTTTTAGAGATTATGTCCATTCTGTGGAGCACTGTGGTCTAAACCGGCTTGATGGAATTTAACATATGGAGATTTAGTTGGATTCGTCATAATTGTGGAAGTCACATAATATGGTATAAACATTATTTCTTTTCGATAAACTTATCGCACATTGTTGGTTTTTTTTAATTATTGTTTTAATATTAAGGCTTTTTCTTATTCGTTTATCATTGGTAATAATGCATCTTACTGTTTCTTATCTTGGTAAAGCCACAAAATGACTGTTGATTTTGTGGTCTTTGCTTAAATAATTAAGTATATTACATTTGGCTGTCACAGCACCTATACTTATAAAATTCTCCACGAATTGGTCAACATAATAACGCCAATATATTTCTTTTACAACTACATTCAACTTCATCAAAGAAGAAAAATAATGTCACGAATGTTAAATTTAATATTTTAAATTTGTAGGTACGGGAACAGGGGGAGGTGGGGGTGGCGGAAATGCAACTGCAGCCGCTCAAAGTACAGCTATAGGTATTTTTAAAGTATTAATTATTTAGTTAAAATTAGATAAGCCTATATGAAATTTTAACCAATGAGTAATAAATTTAAAAAATAAAATGTAAGTTATGTAAAAATTTGGTGGTATTCTCTTACGAGATCACAGTTAACCATAATTTAAATGAATTCGTGTGTAATTTGAATAACATAAAGATTAATTAGGGATCGTTATAAATAATTGAACGAGATAGAACTGAGATAATGTAAACTTTTCGATAAAATAGTGTAGTTTATGAGATTGTCCAGAGTTTTTATTAATAATATTGGGTGCCATAATTAATGCCCCGTACATGGAGACATTAGTTACCACTACCAGATCAGTTACTAGTTCGGTTAGTTTGCAACGGAAGAAGGTAAGACGAATCCACTTTTTTCACTATAATATTCTAGAAACTGATATTCATCTGCACCCAACAAATAAGTTCATATAAAGTGCAAACAAGGTTATAATACAATTAACATCTCTATGAGACATTATAGACATTGCCGGAATACATAAAAGCCGAAACAAATATTAATAAATTCATAAGATCTTTTAAAGAGATACTTATTAAAAAAAGTTATTATTCAATTAATGAATTCATTGAGGAAAAGAATTTTTAAGTGTCTGCCCCTCTCCTGTTCATTGCTATGCCTTTCGATGTGCACGTGATTGTTAGAACTTGCATGTTTTGTTTAGTCTCTAAGTCACATGTAACGCAATTTGTGAATAAATAAATAAATAATATTGTGACGCGGAAATCTCAATACATTTTATCGTTTGGGTCTTAAACAAAAAATTTAACTACTATTGATAAATGATTCTTAAATTTGACAATCATATAGTTTTATATATTGTAATTATGGTTGTTTGTACTCTCATACATATCTCTACAGCTGAAATATAAAATATGAAGCTGGTGTCCCATTTAAATTAGATAGATAGAAAATTCTTTATTGCACTCAAACAAAACAATTTGGTACAAAGGCGAACTTAATGCCGAAAAGGCATTCTCTGCCAGCTAACCTTTAGTAGTGTGGTGAGAGCTATGGGTAGAGCCGCGAGAGAAAGAAAAACTAACTTATTTATTCATACTATTCAAAACACATTATATAATATTATGTATATGTTAGTCTATATATGTATATATATATATATATATACAACATATATATATATATATATATATATATATATATATACAACACATACATATATATACATACATATATATTTAAATAAAATATATACTAAACCAATAAAACATACAATATAGTACACGAAATTATAATAAACATAATCAATAAAATTAATCAAGTAATTTTAAATAATATGCCTCAAGCTTACGTTTAAATGTATTTATTGAAGGAGCATCTTTTAAATCTCGTGGAAGGTTATTTCAAAGTGTAATTGATAATACCGTGAAGGAATCCGAAAAGTATGCAGATTTATGCATCGGAATAGTTAGAGTTTTCTTGGTCATCGAACGGGATAAGCTTAAATATGAAAAACGCTCTTTTAGATAAACTGGAGAACAAGGATTGTGAAGAATACTATACAAAGTGGTTAGAAGGTGTGTGTTCCGGCGAAAACGGATGTCGAGCCACTTAAGTCTTGAGCGAAATTGTGATATATGATCAAACTTGCGCAGGCCAAAAATATAGCGTATGCACAGATTGAGCAGACGGTCGAGTTTGCTAAGCATAATCAAAAATAGGAAGCAACAGAGAGTTGACTAGCGTAACCTTGGCCGTCTGAGGAATAAACTTTTGCCAGAGCTTTAATGAATGCATAATTCCAAAAATACGTCTCCTGACCTCATTAACCTGTAGCACCCTACTTAGATCGTCAGCCAAAATTAAGCCAAGGTTCTTAACCTGCCTAAAATATTCTAAATTACACCGTTTAGATTGACCTTAGGTAGATATTGATAGTCAAGTCGCCATGTAATTTTTCTGCTCCCTATGATTATAACCTGTGTTTTGGCAGGATTTAATATTAGCCCATGACATCTTGCCCACTGATGAACTGCAGCAAGATCAGAATTCATTCTGTCAACAGGTGAATTTAGGTCATTTAAACTAAAATGCTGATACAGCTGGACATCATCTACGTACAGGTGATACTTGCTGAAATTTATTACGGAAACAAGTGCATTGATAAACACAGAAAAAAGCAACGCAGATAAAACACCGCTTTGAGGAACACCAGCAACAACGTTACACCAATCGGAGAACTTATCATCAACACGTATGCGTTGCCGGCGTCCCCGAAGATAGGAACTGAACCATTGTAGAACTGCTTAAATAGATTTCATAATTGTAAGGATGTCATATTCAACACAGTTAAAGGCGTTACTGAAGTCCAGAAGGACAAGAAGAGTAAGTTGACGATTATCCAAATATCGCGAAGCGGATATCAACAGTTATTTTAATTAAGGCCGTGGAAGTACTGTGCAGAGATCGGAAACCAGACTGAAAAGGATTAAAGAGGTTGTGTTTGTTTAGAAATTTTGAGAGTTGGCCATGAACAACCTTTTCAAGAATTTTGGAGAAGAAGGAGAGGATAGATATTGGCCTATAGTGGCTGAAATTAGCAGGAGAGCTATTTTTGGGAACTTGGATTGGAATCAGGAACGCTTCTTTCCACTTGGTAGGGAAGTTACTGGAGGCAAAGGAGAAATTTATTAGGTGAGTGATATGCGAAACTATTTGGTCCAAAATCGGCAAAACCATGTCACGTCTAATATTATCTGGGCCAACAACTTTGCTGGATATGACGGATGCAATATTTTTTACTTCATTATCAGTCACTGGTTCAAAACAGAAAGGAGTACAACATGGTAAAGGGAAACAAGTTATATCTTTAATAGTATCGCTTTTGACTGTTGAGTCCAACGAAACTGGTAAAGAGCAAAAGTGTTTGTTGAGTTGAGCGCTGTTAAATCAAGGGACTGACTAACAGTCTGTTTGCTTTTACCAAAGCCTAGGCTGCGCAAAAACTTCCATAAATTCTGGGTTGTGCAAGTCTCAATAGTATTGTGAATATGTCGGCGTTTGGTATTTCGTATCACCTGGTTTCAGCGATTTCGTGCTTTTTAAAATCTTTCCCAGTTCTCATCACTGGGCGAACGTTTATGTTTTCTTTTAAGGCGGTCCCTACGTGCCATAAGAGATCGAATATATGGCGTTAACCAAGGTGCTGGTGGCCTTTTCATTTTTACAGGTCTTAAAGGCGCTACTTTGTCACAAGCTTTTGTTAAAATGTTATTGAGTAACTGCAGTTTATTGTCAATATTATTAGTGTTATAAAAGTCTGCCCAATTAGCATTGCGTATCTCATAACTTAATAGCTGGCGATTCATACGGACAAGGTTACGCTGAAACATAATTTTGGGAGATGATTTATTGGATTTAAGAGCATATGATGCGAAAATTAGATCATGATGGGAAAATCCAGGAGCCACAAATTGACCATGTAGAGATATACGATCAGGATCAGATGTAAGGATTAAATCCAGTAAAGAGTTAGTGTTATTGACGTGATAGGTAGATTCGAGGTCAAGAATTTTAATATTGCTTGATGTACTTAAGCGTTTAAGCTTATTCGATCTAGCATCATTTCAAATACGGCAGGTGTTAAAGTCACCCATGAAAATTGAGTTTGGGAGATGCAACTCAATCAGCTGTTCCAATTCATTGAAATAATTTACAGAAGGAGGTGCATAAAATGTTCCTAGTAAGAAAGGTGTTGCATACCATTATTTCAATGAGAATGTATTCCAATGATTTAGAGTAAACCTCGGGCGATCTGAAAACGATTGTGTATGGTATGTCTGACCGCAGGTATATGGCAACACCTCCGCTACCCTTGTTTAATCTGTCATTCCTGATGAGATGATAGCCCGGAAGTCTAAACAAAGTAGATGGTAAGCTAGGTTTAAGAAATGATTCTGATATGAGACAGGCATGAATAAGACTGTTTTCGAAAGTTGCAAGAAGATCTGAAAAGTGAGCTGGAACACTTTGTGCATTAATATGACATATATTCAAATTCCTACGGTAAGGCTCAAGGGCATTATAACGAATATCAAGGAATAAATTAGTATATCTACTTCATACAAGTTAAAGTTATTGTGTGTGTGCTCTGCCAGTATTGTGATTTATCTTGTATTTACTTTTAATACTACTACTTTTTTACAAAAACTTTACACCAACCAAACATATTCTTATAAGTCTTAGATGTAAGTAAGGCCTTGATATTCGTTATAATAAATTAACTATAATAATTATTTTGTAATTTTATCAGTATGATTCTATGTAAGATATTTTTTATAAATTATAGCTAACGGAAATGGAAATGCAAACGCTGCTGCTCAGAGTATCGCACAACGTAAATACATACAATGGGTGCGTTTGGCAGAAAAAAGCGCTAGCAAGCGATTATAAGCGCTGAAATAGTTTTCGGCCAGGACACGATTGCTACTTCGGTAGCGCTGACACAATCCGCCATTTTGCTTATTTAATTTGTTTATTTTGAAGTAGAGTTTATAAGTTGTTTTGAGCAATATTAGTTTTAAGTAATATAATGACATGAATAGACATATACATGTTATTAAAATTCATGATTGGTAAGTTTTTAATATGAATACTTTGCAAACATATATTTAAATTAGGTTAGATTCCCCGGTTAAAACTAACATCGTGTCCTGGAGGAAAATAGCTACTTACGATTTGACAGCGGTTACCGCTTACGATCGCCATTTTGTTTACAAGCGCTTGCTAGCGCTTTTTTCTGCCAAACGCACCCATTTATTCAAGTTCACTCCGATAATTTTACGTGGTAGAGCCACGATACAGCTGAGTTATGGCTTCAATACGAATGAGTCGGCTCAACCCTGGAAATACTACGTCTGAACAGTATATAAGTGAGAAAAAGCAACATATTGCTGCTGTGTTTCGGATGATAATGCCGACAACCGGATACCCGTTTTACTGTTAACAACGCATTCTATCAGTCTTATTCCTCAAAAACGGTAGTTTCTTGTATTCTAAATCATAACCAATGACTGATGTTGTTGTCTTTGCCACCAATTTCTAGCAATATTTGTAGACGGTCAGAGAAAATATCTTAAAAATTGTCCAATAGATTAAAACAAATTTGATGATTCAATTGCTCCTTGAACCTTTACGCGTCGAAGCGTCGAAGAGTCTAAGCCCTGTAGGGTGTTTATAGATTGTAACTAAAACAAATTTCTCAAACGATTTAAGCAATAGTGATATATTTAGATTAAAAGACATGATGGCAGTGAACACAGTTCACCTAAGGATATTTGTGTTAAGTTAATAATCAGGATATTGATTTTGAGTAATGATATATCAAACATAAAATATTGTTGAACTAATAATTTTAACGTGTAGCCCGTGATGAATCATCCATCAACATGGGAAAGCTTAAAGCCACTCGTGGAGCTATCCTCTAAGTTACTCTGCGTGAAAACGTTTATTACGAGGAAATCCGCAGAATAACAAGAGCAATTTTTCATGGTTGTCACGATTGGCTACCCGATTACCAATAGCAGTATTTAATTTTTTTAATTATTATCAAAAACATGCAGCTCACCATTTTCTATTTCAGTCCTCTTCTGCTAGGTCTTACAACACACATGGGATGGTATGGGTTAAAGGGTTGGTTTCCTTTAGGCCGTCACTAAACGGCGCAGTGAAATAGTCGAGTATAGCTCGAAAAACTGATAACCAATGGAGAAAAAAGTGTCTTGATGCAGCATCGTACTGGCAAGCGTAGCATAAGAGAATCTCCCGCTAGAAATCAAAATCAAGAAAAATATGCAAAGGTCGATGGATATAGGTGGTGGTGCTTACGCAATGAACCTACGTAACATATTTAAAAATAACGTATTTCTCTTGCAGCAAATGGGACTGGAAATGCAGCTGCACTTGCTCAAAGTATCGCACAGGGTAAATTATTGTTATTATTTTCTAAAAATACAAAAAAATGTATATGACTATAAATGATAAGTTCTATAACAAGTGAATATGGTGAAAACGGGGGAACTGTTACTATTAAGGCTCTAAGTGCAACACAAGTTATTCTTCAGAAATTGAGCTATGCTAATTTAATAATACATATGTTGAAATATATTTATTTGTTAACAATATTAAAGTTGTAAGGATAAGTGAAGTAATAAAAGAAGGCAATGAGAATAATATTCATTAGCACAAAGTGCCACTCATCCTTATGGGTATGTTGATTTTAAAAGATAAACAATCCCGGAAATCACCAACTGACACCAAATGACACCTGACCAATCACATATCTCGGAAAATTTGCTCACAATTACCAGGCTGTGTTGTTGAGCAAAGAACTGATATTACTGATACTGATAGCTTTGGTGACACTGCTCCACAATACCCATTTTTGAAATTTGGTTTTGGCGTTCAGGAAATTCTTAGACTTTTTAATATATAGTTTATCTGAAAAGTGCAGATGAGGTTCTAATTTGAAAACACAGTAAGCATTTTTTACCTTTACGTTTTTATAAACTTACGAGAAAGTATACTTATACCTTCCTGTTTGTGAATATTATCTGCATTACGAAACTTAGTAACATGCACTGAAAAAATGTTGTTGTATTTTATGGACAATCTGTTTCGCGATATTTCTAGCAAACATAATTAATTTTAATGTACATTAAAAGTTACAATAACAATGTTATAGCAATCGGAGGTGGCCAGAATGGCGGAAATGCAAATGCTAATGCTCAAAGTCTGGCAAAAGGTACTTGTAACCTATATGATGTGTAAATAATTTTTTATCTTTATTAGTATAATTCTCCGTAAGAGATAATAATTTCAATAAATTACAGCCAACGGAGGCGGAAATGCAAACGCAGCTGCCCTGAGTATCGCTCAAGGTAAATAAATTACTACTAATATTACTACTATATTTCAAGCTCTTTCAGACATTTTTACGTGGTAGAGCTAAGATGCATCTAAACTATGGCTGCAAGGTGAATAAATTGGCTTGACTTGGGAGGTATCATGTATTTGCAGAGTGAAATAGCAACATAATGTTACAATGTTTCGTATGGTAAGTGTCGAGAACCGGAGCACCATTTACTTGGTAACTTGGTAACAAAAGTATTCAATCTCAATCTTGAGGGGTTTCTTTATCGGAAAGAGATACATGTAATGTGTCTTTGGGTTATAGCATCTTCCTACCATTATTATTATCGGTTGTAAAACATTAAAAATAACGGAGTATCCATGAAGATTTTTTTTTCTTCAGACTATAATTTTTATTTTTATTTGTATGTTTTTCTCGTAGCACTAGGTTCGGGAAATAGTGGAGCGAACTCAATAGCAAATGCCATTGCGTCAGGTAAAAGTTATCCAATACTATTTTACATATTATCACCTTCAACAGTGAGTGAAATTCATAGACCTCACCCGTTATATGAAGGAGTATCTATAATTGCACGTTTGTCAGTTGTGCCATATATTTAAAAGCCTGGACGCTGCTCTATGTTACCAGGTTGGTTATATATTTTACTCGTACTCCCATCAGCAGATCTTGAACAGATCTATGCTGGATGTGATCCTCAGCAATAGAGAAAAAAATTTGCCAAAATCTAAATTTTTGGCAGGCGTAATGGCTATAGCAGTACTGAACGTTTCACAACTTTATCACTACTTCTTATGTAATTATTTTGCATAATTACTAAATACAAATACAAGGTAGAGCGTAATTGTCTTTTTTTTCAAAGCTGTTTGCTCGCGACGCGAATGGCGGGAATTGCAAATTTTTTGCTAACTTGCAAATTTTGCCATATTTTCACATTGAGACAATATTTATGGATAAAACGTACAGGAATTCTTGTTGAATGTATAAACTATCGAATAAATTATTTTTGGTTGCTAGAAATTGTAATAAAATACATAAATTACCCTTTATAGCATAGTAGTAGTATATACTTAACTTTTAGTGCCAAATTACTACTAATTTGAATTCTACACTTGTTTTGGAGAAATTTATATGAAATGTTTGGAAATATGTATATTTTTATGTTTTATGTGGTTCTATTCGTTAATCATACCAAAATATAAAAAATATAAAAAAATGATAATATTTATCTGTATGACATTTCGAACAATATTTCAAATATATATTTGTGTGAATTTGAAATAAATACAACGTCAAGTTATTTGAAATATGTTATAAAACTATTTTTAGTTACATTTTACACTAATAAAAAAATGAGAATTGGAAAAATAACACATTTTTGACCCAACCGCCAAGGGCCTTCTTGATTTCGGAGTACTTTTGGCACTACGTGTTTACTATATTACAAGGAATACAAAACAGTGTAATACTTTAGTTTTTAGTCTAGATACAAATATAAAATTCTATAAAAAAGACGGAGCACCTTCTGCAATGCGACAAACACGTGGAACACCGAAAGTTCAGAGTGATTTCTTTTTTTTTTCTAAGAAACATTGCCAGGTTATGGTTTAAAATAAAAGAGCATATCTTTGTCTTTTACTATATTATTCATTGCATACTGTCTTTGGTTTCGTTTAAAACAAAAAAATATTTTTTCATAGGGCAGTATTTGGTATCAAATTTGATACCTTCCTGAGCCAGCCGTAGGTAATTTTGTAATATCGAATAAGAGTATGGCCATGAGCTAACGGTATAACTTGATGCTATGCATCCTGATGAAAGAAACTTAAGCAGACAATAATGGCGGTAATTCCAAAATTATAATAGGTCTTGAAGTTCATTAGTTGTTATTTACCGTGTAGTGGCGGTGAAAGAATATCCACTACCCCATATCATCCCGTCGATATAGTAAGAGAAGACAGAGGAAAACAAATTAGGAACTATGGCAAATATTCGTCCTGTGAGGCAATATTTTTCCTATGAGGTAAAGCCTATGTCCAGCAGTGGATTTTACTAGGTTATTACAGTATTAGTTGTTGAAATATCTATTACTGATGCACGTTTGGCGTCTCGTCCCATTATTTAGCAAAACTTAAAAATAGAAAACCACTGCACGGATTGATTATCTGTGTGTCTCGCCTTGTTAATTGCTTTGTTTTAAACCAATATTATATTCTATTTATTTTATAATGTTTTATTTATTTCCTGTTCAAAAAAAAACTTAAAAGTTCTCTCCCTGCAACTAATTGTTATCATTATTATCATTTTTTAATAATTATTGTACACACTATAAGTTAGTTACAAATTTTAAATATTTTAAATGGATGTCCAAAGGCGAGCTTAACCCGAATAAAAGTTTTCTTCCAGCAAATCCTTTAGTAGAGAGGAATTGTTTTCTATGTTAAGCAAGTAGGTAGCATCGTGCGTACTTAATATTTAACAAAACACAAATTAATAGAAATTGGCTATACGTTATAGTTAACAATTAACATATTTGTGTATAAATATAAGCATATTTTCTTTTATAAGTTTTATTAATTATACATTTATCATACACACAAATATACTTATAAATACAAAAATTGTATGTATATTTATAATTATGTTGATAGATAATATTTCTTTACTCTATTCCGAAATATAACTAGAAAAGAACTAGCATGTATGTCACGTGGGAGTGAGATCTATAACTTGACCACCCTTACAGTAAAGGATCCACCACATGGACTTGAGAAATGCAAAGGAATTTTGAGAAGTATGCAACTATTTGGTGGACCGGCACTGAGTTTCACGAGATATAATATACTCAAAAAGAGAGGTGTGGAGGTGCAAGAGAATTAAAGAGTTAAAAGTAAAGAAGTAATATCACATGTAACTCTTGACGTCATCGGATAGAAAGCCATTTTAATTGAGCTCTGTACTCTGAAACATGACCAAACTTACGAAGACCAAAAACAGAACGTATACACAAATTTTGAAGGCGTTCGAGTTTGTTGAACAGTTCCTCTGAAACATCCAGAAAATTGACATCAGCGTAATTAATAAGAGGAAAAAGAAGTCAAGCACTTCTTCTTCCTCTTGTTGACTACTGGTTATTAGTAGTCAATGATAAGGTACTACTGGTTATCAGTAGTCAATGGTAAGGTTATCTTGGTGTTTAAAAAGAAAACACTTGGAGGCGCTTGAGAGATTGAAAAGAGTAGTTCACCTTTCTGTAAATCATATTCATGGGAGCAACCCAAGAAAATTATTATCTGATAACATCTAAGTTCTCGGCAGTCTCTGGATGTGGAATCTGAGTATTATCGTAAGTTATTGTTGGGGTCTTCGAACGATCTAATAGGTTATGCATACGTGAGCTGCCAATAATAATAACTTGGGATTTAACAGGATTACCAAGAGAACCAAAGGATTTTGCCCAACTGCTTATGCTACTTAAGTCAGAATTCACATTTACGGCACTGATAATTTTGGGAATCAAGGAAGTGATACAATATTACTATTTAAAAATGTATTTATTGCTTTTCGAAGTATTCTCCGAGAAATTTGACACATTTTTCCATACGATTGAACCAATCATTGAAGCAACCATTCCATTCGGAAGTTGGGGTCTCCAAAATGGCCGTTTTGTAGGCGTTCACAGCTTCTTCAGGTGATGAAAATCTCTGTCCACGCAATTTATTCTTTATTTTAGGGAAAGTATAGAAATCGTTGAGGCTTATGTCGGGGCTGTACGGCAGATTGTCTAATAATTCTATGTTTTCTTGCTCTAAAAACTCTTTTGTTCTGTGTGCGGTGTGAGAACTCGCATTGTCGTGATGGAGGATGATGCGGCGATTGCAGTTCTCTTTACGGAGTTCAGAAACGACCTGTGGCAAACAAATGCTAGCATACCATTCTGCATTAACCGTTCTTTGTCTCTCAAGAGGAATAGTAACATGGCCGGTTTTGGAGACAAACGCGGCCACCACTTTTTTTTGCAACACTGCGTGAACGAACAATTTTTGTTGGCTTTAACTCATTTTCGAACACCCAAACTCGTGACTGGTTTTTTGTTTCGGGTTCGTATGCATATATCCAGGATTCGTCACCTGATTCGATCGATGTTGTATACAACATTTGAGGATCCTGCGTGGAATCTTTCGAGAGTTCTGACTCACAAAGTAACGCGAGCCGCTTTTTGCTCTTCACAGAGCGAATACGGTATCCATCGGGAAAACAACTTTTTTACACCCAATTGTTCATGCAAGATTATTTGTATTTAACTCATGCCAATGTCTAGTTGCCTGAATTTTGCGGTATGTCACATGTTGATCTTACACAATCAGCTTACGCACAGCATCAACGTTTTCTTGGGTGACTGCAGTTTTTGGACGACCTTGACGGGAATCATCGCTGAGCTTGACACGTCCACGTTGAAATTCAGCAAACCAGCGATGAATTGTGGTTTTGGATGGGGCTTCATCACCAAAAGCAGGAATCATCCGGTCAACACACTGATTTGTGTTAAAACACTTCGAAAGTCATAATAAATCATCGCTCTTGAATTTCCTCTAGTAATTGACCATTTTCTCAACGACTAAACAAGTTTGACAAAACCTTGTGACAAGACCGAGAATCTTTTTTTAAATAAATAAATGGTATTTGATATTTAAAACCAAGGAGTTTTTAATTAAAAAGATTTTAATATGACAGGAACAGTGGAAATATTCCATTCCCGATACTTTAAGTGCAGCCTATGTATAACTATACTCAATATAATAGATATTTAAAATGAATATTATTCAAATAACGACATGTATTTAAAGATTATGTCACATATTTCCAGGCACTGGACAGGCCAGAAGTGATGCAATTGCTACATCAATTTCTAATGCACAGGCAAATGGTAATATACTATTGTCAGTAATATTAAAAAGACATATTTACAAAATATTCTGCTTATTGAATTTTAAATCATCGCTTTATTTGTTTCACTATCTTTCACAAAACATTGCAAATAATGAGGTAAAATAAGTATAAAAAAACAACATTTGAATGTAATCGCAATATTGCATATTAGTTAAAATTAAAAGTAAACTATCAATGCCAGTGTGATTGGTTTTGTTCAAACGTTTTATTCCGCAGTATACGCATGAAAATAAGAAATCATACTGTTTTAATGCACAAATGTACACCTTATTACAAAATAAACTTAATTTTCAAAGGTGGATCCGGTAATTCCAATGGTGGTTCTGGTAATTCGTCACGTAAAACAAAGCGACGTCGACGCAAAGGAAACTCGGGAAGAAGAAAAAAGAGAAAAGGATATCAAACCAGCCCCGGCGGAAATACTGGAGGCAACAAAGAACCCGGAGGTGACAAAGGACCTGGTGAAAATCCTAAACCTAAAGGACCTAATGGCGATAAAGGGCTAAGCGGCGAGAAAGGAATGAAGGGCAACAAAGGACCTGTTGGTGATAAAGGACCTAAAGGTGGCAAGGGACCTGGTGGAAATTCTCAACCTAAAGGACCTAATGGCGATAAAGGGCAAAGCGGCGAGAAAGGAATGAAGGGCAACAAAGGATCTGTTGGTGATAAAGGACCTAAAGGTGGCAAGGGACCTGGTGGAAATTCTCAACCTAAAGGACCTAATGGCGATAAAGGGCTAAGCGGCGAGAAAGGAATGAAGGGCAACAAAGGACCTGTTGGTGAAAAAGGACCTGAAGGTGGCAAGGGACCTGGTGGAAATTCTCAACCTAAAGGACCTAATGGCGATAAAGGGCTAAGCGGCGAGAAAGGAATGAAGGGCAACAAAGGACCTGTTGGTGAAAAAGGACCTGAAGGTGGCAAGGGACCTGGTGGAAATTCTCAACCTAAAGGACCTAATGGCGATAAAGGGCTAAGCGGCGAGAAAGGAATGAAGGGCAACAAAGGACCTGTTGGTGAAAAAGGACCTAAAGGTGGCAAGGGACCTGGTGGAAATTCTCAACCTAAAGGACCTAATGGCGATAAAGGGCAAAGCGGCGAGAAAGGAATGAAGGGCAACAAAGGACCTGTTGGTGATAAAGGACCTGAAGGTGGCAAGGGACCTGGTGGAAATTCTCAACCTAAAGGACCTAATGGCGATAAAGGGCTAAGCGGCGAGAAAGGAATGAAGGGCAACAAAGGACCTGTTGGTGATAAAGGACCTGAAGGTGGCAAGGGACCTGGTGGAAATTCTCAACCTAAAGGACCTAATGGCGATAAAGGGCAAAGCGGCGAGAAAGGAGTGAAGGGCAACAAAGGACCTGTTGGTGATAAAGGACCTGAAGGTGGCAAGGGACCTGGTGGAAATTCTCAACCTAAAGGACCTAATGGCGATAAAGGGCTAAGCGGCGAGAAAGGAATGAAGGGCAACAAAGGACCTGTTGGTGATAAAGGACCTAAAGGTGGCAAGGGACCTGGTGGAAATTCTCAACCTAAAGGACCTAATGGCGATAAAGGGCAAAGCGGCGAGAAAGGAATGAAGGGCAACAAAGGAACTGTTGGTGATAAAGGACCTAAAGGTGGCAAGGGACCTGGTGGAAATTCTCAACCTAAAGGACCTAATGGCGATAAAGGGCAAAGCGGCGAGAAAGGAATGAAGGGCAACAGACTGAAAAAGGACCTGAAGGCGGCAAGGGACCTGGTGGAAATTCTCAACCTAAAGGACCTAATGGCGATAAAGGGCTAAGCGGCGAGAAAGGAATGAAGGGCAACAAAGGACCTGTTGGTGATAAAGGACCTAAAGGTGGCAAGGGACCTGGTGGAAATTCTCAACCTAAAGGACCTAATGGCGATAAAGGGCAAAGCGGCGAGAAAGGAATGAAGGGCAACAAAGGACCTGAAGGTGGCAAGGGACCTGGTGGAAATTCTCAACCTAAAGGACCTAACGGCGATAAAGGGCTAAGCGGCGAGAAAGGAATGAAGGGCAACAAAGGACCTGTTGGTGAAAAAGGACCTAAAGGTGGCAAGGGACCTGGTGGAAATTCTCAACCTAAAGGACCTAATGGCGATAAAGGGCTAAGCGGCGAGAAAGGAATGAAGGGCAACAAGAAAAGGACCTGAAGGTGGCAAGGGACCTGGTGGAAATTCTCAACCTAAAGGACCCAACGGCGATAAGGGGCTAAGCGGCGAGAAAGGAATGAAGGGCAACAAAGGACCTGTTGGTGATAAAGGACCTAAAGGTGGCAAGGGACCTGGTGGAAATTCTCAACCTAAAGGACCTAATGGCGATAAAGGGCAAAGCGGCGAGAAAGGAATGAAGGGCAACAAAGGACCTGTTGGTGATAAAGGACCTGAAGGTGGCAAGGGACCTGGTGGAAATTCTCAACCTAAAGGACCTAATGGCGATAAAGGGCTAAGCGGTGAGAAAGGAATGAAGGGCAACAAAGGACCTGTTGGTGATAAAGGACCTAAAGGTGGCAAGGGACCTGGTGGAAATTCTCAACCTGAAGGACCTAATGGCGATAAAGGGCTAAGCGGCGAGAAAGGAATGTTGGGCAACAAAGGACCTGAAGGTGGCAAGGGACCTGGTGGAAATTCTCAACCTAAAGGACCTAATGGCGATAAAGGGCAAAGCGGCGAGAAAGGAATGAAGGGCAACAAAAAGGACCTGAAGGTGGCAAGGGACCTGGTGGAAATTTCAAAATAATGGCGATAAAGGGCTAAGCGGTGAGAAAGGAATGAAGGGCAACAAAGGATCTGTTGGTGATAAAGGACCTAAAGGTGGCAAGGGACCTGGTGGAAATTCTCAACCTAAAGGACCTAATGGCGATAAAGGGCAAAGCGGCGAGAAAGGAATGAAGGGCAACAGGATAAAGGACCTGAAGGTGGCAAGGGACCTGGTGGAAATTCTCAACCTAAAGGACCTAACGGCGATAAAGGGCTAAGCGGCGAGAAAGGAATGAAAGGCAACAAAGGACCTGTTGGTGAAAAAGGACCTAAAGGTGGCAAGGGACCTGGTGGAAATTCTCAACCTAAAGGACCTAATGGCGATAAAGGGCAAAGCGGCGAGAAAGGAATGAAGAAAGGGCGAACAAAGGACCTGAAGGTGGCAAGGGACCTGGTGGAAATTCTCAACCTAAAGGACCCAACGGCGATAAAGGGCTAAGCGGCGAGAAAGGAATGAAGGGCAACAAAGGACCTGTTGGTGATAAAGGACCTAAAGGTGGCAAGGGACCTGGTGGAAATTCTCAACCTAAAGGACCTAATGGCGATAAAGGGCTAAGCGGTGAGAAAGGAATGAAGGGCAACAAAGGACCTGTTGGTGAAAAAGGACCTGAAGGTGGCAAGGGACCTGGTGGAAATTCTCAACCTAAAGGACCTAATGGCGATAAAGGGCTAAGCGGCGAGAAAGGAATGAAGGGCAACAAAGGACCTGTTGGTGATAAAGGACCTAAAGGTGGCAAGGGACCTGGTGGAAATTCTCAACCTAAAGGACCTAATGGCGATAAAGGGCTAAGCGGCGAGAAAGGAATGAAGGGCAACAAAGGATCTGTTGGTGATAAAGGACCTAAAGGTGGCAAGGGACCTGGTGGAAATTCTCAACCTAAAGGACCTAATGGCGATAAAGGGCAAAGCGGCGAGAAAGGAATGAAGGGCAACAGGACTTAAAAGGACCTGAAGGTGGCAAGGGACCTGGTGGAAATTCTCAACCTAAAGGACCTAATGGCGATAAAGGGCTAAGCGGCGAGAAAGGAATGAAGGGCAACAAAGGACCTGAAGGTGGCAAGGGACCTGGTGGAAATTAAGACCTAATGGCGATAAAGGGCTAAGCGGCGAGAAAGGAATGAAGGGCAACAAAGGACCTGTTGGTGATAAAGGACCTAAAGGTGGCAAGGGACCTGGTGGAAATTCTCAACCTAAAGGACCTAATGGCGATAAAGGGCAAAGCGGCGAGAAAGGAATGAAGGGCAACAAAGGACCTGAAGGTGGCAAGGGACCTGGTGGAAATTCTCAACCTAAAGGACCTAATGGCGATAAAGGGCTAAGCGGCGAGAAAGGAATGAAGGGCAACAAAGGACCTGTTGGTGATAAAGGACCTGAAGGTGGCAAGGGACCTGGTGGAAATTCTCAACCTAAAGGACCTAATGGCGATAAAGGGCTAAGCGGCGAGAAAGGAATGAAGGGCAACAAAGGACCTGTTGGTGATAAAGGACCTGAAGGTGGCAAGGGACCTGGTGGAAATTCTCAACCTAAAGGACCTAATGGCGATAAAGGGCTAAGCGGTGAGAAAGGAATGAAGGGCAACAAAGGATCTGTTGGTGAAAAAGGACCTAAAGGTGGCAAGGGACCTGGTGGAAATTCTCAACCTAAAGGACCTAATGGCGATAAAGGGCTAAGCGGCGAGAAAGGAATGAAGGGCAACAAAGGACCTGTTGGTGATAAAGGACCTGAAGGTGGCAAGGGACCTGGTGGAAATTCTCAACCTAAAGGACCTAATGGCGATAAAGGGCAAAGCGGCGAGAAAGGAATGAAGGGCAACAAAGGACCTGTTGGTGATAAAGGACCTGAAGGTGGCAAGGGACCTGGTGGAAATTCTCAACCTAAAGGACCTAATGGCGATAAAGGGCAAAGCGGCGAGAAAGGAATGAAGGGCAACAAAGGATCTGTTGGTGATAAAGGACCTGAAGGTGGCAAGGGACCTGGTGGAAATTCTCAACCTAAAGGACCTAACGGCGATAAAGGGCTAAGCGGCGAGAAAGGAATGAAGGGCAACAAAGGACCTGTTGGTGAAAAAGGACCTGAAGGTGGCAAGGGACCTGGTGGAAATTCTCAACCTAAAGGACCTAATGGCGATAAAGGGCAAAGCGGCGAGAAAGGAATGAAGGGCAACGGATTTAAAGGACCTGGGGAAGGTGGCAAGGGACCTGGTGGAAATTCTCAACCTAAAGGACCTAATGGCGATAAAGGGCTAAGCGGCGAGAAAGGAATGAAGGGCAACAAAGGACCTGTTGGTGATAAAGGACCTAAAGGTGGCAAGGGACCTGGTGGAAATTCTCAACCTAAAGGACCCAACGGCGATAAAGGGCAAAGCGGCGAGAAAGGAATGAAGGGCAACAAAGGATCTGTTGGTGATAAAGGACCTAAAGGTGGCAAGGGACCTGGTGGAAATTCTCAACCTAAAGGACCTAATGGCGATAAAGGGCAAAGCGGCGAGAAAGGAATGAAGGGCAACAAAGGACCTGTTGGTGATAAAGGACCTAAAGGTGGCAAGGGACCTGGTGGAAATTCTCAACCTAAAGGACCTAATGGCGATAAAGGGCAAAGCGGCGAGAAAGGAATGAAGGGCAACAGGATGTAAAGGACCTGAAGGTGGCAAGGGACCTGGTGGAAATTCTCAACCTAAAGGACCTAATGGCGATAAAGGGCAAAGCGGTGAGAAAGGAATGAAGGGCAACAAAGGATCTGTTGGTGATAAAGGACCTAAAGGTGGCAAGGGACCTGGTGGAAATTCTCAACCTAAAGGACCTAATGGCGATAAAGGGCAAAGCGGCGAGAAAGGAATGAAGGGCAACAAAGGACCTGAAGGTGGCAAGGGACCTGGTGGAAATACAACTAATGGCGATAAAGGGCTAAGCGGCGAGAAAGGAATGAAGGGCAACAAAGGACCTGTTGGTGATAAAGGACCTAAAGGTGGCAAGGGACCTGGTGGAAATTCTCAACCTAAAGGACCTAATGGCGATAAAGGGCTAAGCGGCGAGAAAGGAATGAAGGGCAACGGAAAGGACCTGAAGGTGGCAAGGGACCGGGTGGAAATTCTCAACCTAAAGGACCTAATGGCGATAAAGGGCTAAGCGGCGAGAAAGGAATGAAGGGCAACAAAGGACCTGTTGGTGATAAAGGACCTAAAGGTGGCAAGGGACCTGGTGGAAATTCTCAACCTAAAGGACCTAATGGCGATAAAGGGCTAAGCGGCGAGAAAGGAATGAAGGGCAACAAAGGACCTGTTGGTGATAAAGGACCTGAAGGTGGCAAGGGACCTGGTGGAAATTCTCAACCTAAAGGACCTAATGGCGATAAAGGGCTAAGCGGCGAGAAAGGAATGAAGGGCAACAAAGGACCTGTTGGTGAAAAAGGACCTGAAGGTGGCAAGGGACCTGGTGGAAATTCTCAACCTAAAGGACCTAATGGCGATAAAGGGCAAAGCGGCGAGAAAGGAATGAAGGGCAACAAAGGACCTGTTGGTGATAAAGGACCTAAAGGTGGCAAGGGACCTGGTGGAAATTCTCAACCTAAAGGACCTAATGGCGATAAAGGGCAAAGCGGCGAGAAAGGAATGAAGGGCAACAAAGGACCTGTTGGTGATAAAGGACCTAAAGGTGGCAAGGGACCTGGTGGAAATTCTCAACCTAAAGGACCTAATGGCGATAAAGGGCTAAGCGGCGAGAAAGGAATGAAGGGCAACAACAAAGGACCTGAGAAGGTGGCAAGGGACCTGGTGGAAATTCTCAACCTAAAGGACCTAATGGCGATAAAGGGCTAAGCGGCAAGAAAGGAATGAAGGGCAACAAAGGACCTGTTGGTGATAAAGGACCTAAAGGTGGCAAGGGACCTGGTGGAAATTCTCAACCTAAAGGACCTAATGGCGATAAAGGGCAAAGCGGCGAGAAAGGAATGAAGGGCAACATAAAAGGACCTGAAGGTGGCAAGGGACCTGGTGGAAATTCTCAACCTAAAGGACCTAATGGCGATAAAGGGCTAAGCGGCGAGAAAGGAATGAAGGGCAACAAAGGACCTGTTGGTGATAAAGGACCTAAAGGTGGCAAGGGACCTGGTGGAAATTCTCAACCTAAAGGACCTAATGGCGATAAAGGGCTAAGCGGCGAGAAAGGAATGAAGGGCAACAAAGGACCTGTTGGTGATAAAGGACCTGAAGGTGGCAAGGGACCTGGTGGAAATTCTCAACCTAAAGGACCTAATGGCGATAAAGGGCTAAGCGGCGAGAAAGGAATGAAGGGCAACAAAGGATCTGTTGGTGAAAAAGGACCTGAAGGTGGCAAGGGACCTGGTGGAAATTCTCAACCTAAAGGACCTAATGGCGATAAAGGGCAAAGCGGCGAGAAAGGAATGAAGGGCAACAAAGGACCTGTTGGTGATAAAGGACCTGAAGGTGGCAAGGGGCCTGGTGGAAATTCTCAACCTAAAGGACCTAATGGCGATAAAGGGCAAAGCGGTGAGAAAGGAATGAAGGGCAACAAAGGACCTGTTGGTGATAAAGGACCTAAAGGTGGCAAGGGACCTGGTGGAAATTCTCAACCTAAAGGACCTAATGGCGATAAAGGGCTAAGCGGCGAGAAAGGAATGAAGGGCAACAAAGGACCTGGTGAAAAAGGTGGCAAGGGACCTGGTGGAAATTCTCAACCTAAAGGACCTAATGGCGATAAAGGGCTAAGCGGCAAGAAAGGAATGAAGGGCAACAAAGGACCTGTTGGTGATAAAGGACCTGAAGGTGGCAAGGGACCTGGTGGAAATTCTCAACCTAAAGGACCTAATGGCGATAAAGGGCTAAGCGGCGAGAAAGGAATGAAGGGCAGCAAAGGACCTGTTGGTGATAAAGGACCTGTTGGTGATAAAGGATCTGAAGGTATTAAGGGACCTGATGGGACTGCTGATAATGTGCCTGGAAATACCCCTGATAAAGCACCAGGCACAGCAAGTGGTTGTCCAGTAGTAGTTTATCGCCCAGGGAGAATATATCGAAGATATAGGACTCGTTACGCTATTCCAGTATATCAGCGCCTCGGGAGCCAAATATATTATGGAAGAGGTAAAGTAACATATTTGATTTAATTATTTTTATATATATATATATATATATATATATATATATATATATATATATATATATATATATATATATAATTTAATAATATATTTTATAAAATATAATAATATTTCTATTTAATATATTTTCTCTTCTAACTGATGGCCTCTTAGGTCCTTCCCAAGAAATGTAAGATGCAGAACGAAAAAAAAAGAACTTCACACGAACGCGTAAGATAAAGTACCAAACGGTTTCATGGGATTCGAATTCAGGACCTGTTATAGGCGGTTTACCACATCTACCTATAATCTTTACGGATACGTTCGTCTACGTTCCCGTAAATATTATTTTACTTATTTAATAGGTCGGGGAAAAGGTTACTTAGTATTTTGTTTACATAAAATTAAAGAAAAATCTCTTTGTACAGTTTGTATCTGGCTGGTTTTACTATCACACAGGAAATTAAGAAAAATAAAAAGTAACAAACATTTTCTTGCCATTTTTCAATAGTTTTCTCTCCGCAAAATGAGTGTGTCTGACGAAGAAATTCGATACATTTTGAAGTTTTGTTACAAAAATACCACTCAAGCCGAAAAAGAAATTTGTGACGTTTATAGACAAAGTTACTTTAAGCGTTTTCAGTCCGGGAATTTTCATGTCATAGATGCAGCTTTCTCTATTCACCCTCAAATGCATAAAATTGATGCCATTTTTAAAAAAGTAGAGCAAGATCGGCACGTTACTAGTTACGGCATAGCCGAGTAACCGTGGATTGACCACAAAATAGTTGTGACCTATTTGAAAAAGACTGGCTATACAAAAGAGCTCGATATTTGGGTACGACACGAGCTCACTGCAACAAACCTAATAAATCGTGTACTAATTTGCGATTCTCTATTTAAACTCGAATTAACACGCAATAAGGTGATGCTGTATGTATGGTGGGATAGGAAGTGCATTGTTTATTATGAGATTTTATCGCCGGGCAAAACCATCGATTCGGATCTCTACTGCCAACAACTAATAAGATCAGGCAAGAAATTAAAAAAATTGATGAACAGATAAGGAGTGGTCTTTCATCATGATACCATATTATACCAGACCATACAAATCTTTGACCACTCAGCAAAAATTATGAAAACTTGATTGGGAAGTGTTAATGCATTCACCATGTATTGCTAGCTAAAACCTTAGAAAAAAAAACCTTAAACCTTTTTTTCCTTTACCCTCAGATTTTCACCTGTTACGGTTTCTTCAGAATTCATTGGGTAATATTAGGTTAGGAATGTCAAAACTATTTGTCGCATTATTTTGATCAAAATTCCCAAGTTTCCTACAGTCACTACCTACAAAATGGTAACAAGTTCTCAAACAAAATGGCAAATATATACCTATTATGGTTAAATGTAATTAATCCAAAAAAAAAAATGCCTTACAATTGTATCTAAAATACGAAGAAACTTATTCCCGACCTATATTAGCGTACTCTCTCCGCTCTGAAAGCGATACCGCGTCAGTAAATTGTCTGCAAAGATGAGAACGGTGATCTTTAAAAACTCTACTTCGCGCTTTGTAAATATGCAAGCGCTATTCTGGCACGAAATACCTTCCCGCCACATCCTCCTGGTACCCTCCTGGGGTGGTCTGTTTTTTAATTTACCGGGCGAAACGCAGAAGTATAGCTTCTACTTCACGCTGGTATTATTCTGTGAGGTCATAGCACTTCACTAGTTCCTGCTACTGGAGATTCTCAGTATTATTTATCATTAACCCCCGACGAAAACATGTGTGTATTGTATGTATCTATGTATTTTTCTGTGGCATCATAACTCATAAACGTATGAACCGATTTTGATTAAATATTTTTCATTTTAAACGTGTCTTAACCAAAACTGTTTCAAGAAAATACTTTCAGCCGTTTGTATATCAGCTCTTTTTGTTTCTGGGGTTTTTAAAATGCTTAGGTTATTTGTTTATATTTATACATTCCAAACAGATGACACTATATATACTAAAAAGCCTTTCTTAGTACACTGCATTACATCCATCCAGAAAATATTTATGCTATTTTCCAATATTAGTTTCGTCGTGTGTCCGTTACAAAACAGATGGTGCAGAATATCAACGTAACATACGGCTACTGTTGCGGCATAGAAACACACGTTGAAGTTTTGGTTTCATCGCGTCATTCTGAAAATTTTGTCCTCAACAATAATATTTTCGGCACTCACTAGCAACCTCATATCAATTGTAGAGCATATTATACACCAGATCAATATTGCGTATTACAATTAGTGTATTATTTAATGTTTTTTCAGACGATGACAGCTACAATGGCTATAACGATGATACCTATAGAAACTACTTAGGACAGAAACTCTGCCCTTGTGGAAACAGTACGTAAAAATTTTAATATTTAATTTTTACACAACGCAATACTTCCTGCAGTTTCGTGTTACACTTAGCTGGTTATATGTTTGTTCTTGTTATCTTAAGCCAAAAATGAGCCGTATAGTGGCGTTATACAAAAATCCCACCCCACTTCATCCAGTGCGTGTCTTTCTTTAAATACTAGCAATGCTACAAACATTACTAATTTTTCCTTTAAACGTCTCCAGTAAGCATAATATGCTTATGTTAGGAGTCGTTCATGACAGTTGTCGAAGTCAGATTCGAGCCTACGGCCTTTTGAGTCTACAACAATTTGTATACATACACTCATTAAGAAACAATAGGGCTTAAAAAAACTAATAACACTCATTGATCATCAGCTGCAATGAGCCTGATGAGAATACTACGTCATAGTTATAAATTTATTACATTGCCTCCAGCCAGTATTGCGTCAGTAAAATCTCAGATTTTTCAGACGTGCGGAAGTGGATGAAAACTTGATTATAGAATTTGATTATATTATTTTTTTATAGGATAGGATGACAAACGGGCACACAGTCCACCTGATGGTAAGTGGTTGCTGTGGCCCATAAGCATATACATCTGTCCTCGATTACGAATCAAAATGCAGATGCGTTGTCATCCGTGAGGACTTAAGTGGAATGCCTCGTTTCCAGTAAAAAGGGTCTCCGGTTCTCTACACTCACCATACGAAACACAGCAGCATTAAGCTACTATTTGACGCTGGTATTCTGTGTGTGCGTGGTCCCTCCCCGGTCGAGCCGACCCATTCGTGCTACAACTATACTACAAATATGACTGCAGCATGGCTCTACCACGTAAAAAACTAAATACATACATATCATACATAACTAAATACAATTCTAGCTAATAAATGAAACCACGTTATAATTTGTACTTTGTTACAGGGTATATTGTATACATTCCCGATCCCCGAATCTCGAAGGCCTGTGCCCCTTTTTATATTTAAATATATTTTAATAATTGATAAATTAAAATAATAGCCCACCTACAAATGCTATAGTCCTGAGCACACGTGCCCTCTGGTATCTTTTATTCGTGAGAGTCTTTGTGCAATTGGCTAGATACTGCACTGCCTCAATGCTTGTAGGTACTGGTATGGGATAAATCAGCATCATGTTACTGGTTTGCCCGCACGTTATGATACTCGTTAGCCGACCGTTTATCTGTTTTGCGAGCTAAAATATATTTACGGTAATGTAATTTTATTTATTTCAGACCACTAGAGACCGATTCGTTTCCTGATTCAGTTTGAAGAATTGTTATTTTTAGCTACGACTTACGTTAACTGTAACTAACACTTGGCAGCGATAAAGGACTACGATATATTTTTTCTTTCTTTTATACATTTTTATTGTAAATGGTTGGATAGTGACAATAAATGTTGTTAACGGCAATAAATAAGCAATCACACCATAGTTTGTTTTATTTTACTGCTATTGTTCACTTTTTGATATAAGTATTCTCCTATTTCATTACCAGTGCGTAAAAGTCCACTGCACATACTATACATAAAACATATGTTTGACGACAGCTCATTGCCAATGAAAACCAACCACAAACACCAGCAGATTTTAAGCTATTGCATAGCTTCTATCGCGGGCCTTGAGTGCGGGAAAATCCAGAAATTTCGTAACGAAAAAAACCTCACGCTCTCCGACGGGCACGGAGGTGAGCTTGAAGGCCGTGCATTGTCTAACGATGGTCTAACGTCGTTTCTTTTCCTCAGTCTTTGTTGTCTTTGTCGAAGAGTTTTGAAATTTTGAATATGAATGAACAAAGTGCATTTATTATTAAGGCTGCTCTCTCGCAAAAAAGCTTGAAAAAAGCGTGCAGATGAACCAACTTTTCGTCGACACTTACAGATAAATTACATATGAAAAAAATAGCTAGTAATCTACATGATCTGATACGTAATTTAGTTTAGCCATAATGTTTCTATCGGTGTCACATAATAAATAAAAAAATACCCAAATCACCTCCAAATCGTTGAGATGAAACCACTTTACTCCTTCATTGTTTATCAAAGGAATATAAAAAAAATATCTACTGCTTTGCAATACAAAATAAAATAATTTGGTTTGGTTACTTTTTAGAAATATGTATTATTTTTATGATAATAAATTAAAAATGCGTCCCGATTAAATACTGCGTCTATATCACCCCCGCATTCGTCCACGAATTCAGTGCGGGGCGCATCGTGTTGCTAGGTGGACGTACGCCGCGTTGCGAGAGCTCAGCACTACGAAATAAAATCGTAAAATATTACTGCAAAAATTTAATTTTGTTAATAGTGGAGTAGGTTTTTTCTGATTCTTGTTTGATAGTAGTGTTTTATAGTTATATTAATTGTACAGTTTTATTAATTGTACAGTTTTATTAATGTTTAAGTTTAGTTTGTAAAACATGGGGAATAAGCAGAAACGATTGAAGAGAGGTCTAAAAAAAATATTACAAACAAAAGGGTATACATTTATCAAGGCAAGTTTTAAGTTTTATCTACATACATATTTCATAATATTAGACAGGTGCTGTTTATAAAATACCTATATTACTGTGATTTCGCCACTCTGTAACGAGACAAAGCGCGGCAAACGCAAGTGGCGGCAAGGCGCGGGCCGCGTCGTCGCATGCTGGTAGCGCATGTCTGAGAAATTAAAAAATATATATTTCGAAGAAATGTGAAGTTCGTCAACACGCATTGAGGCAGCGTGGCGGACATTTACTTGCCTTAAAACCCTCTCAGAAATTAGAGGAGGCCTGTGCCCAGCAGTGGGACGTATATAGGCTGTAACTTTACTTTTTTTTACTTTTATAAATATGTTATTTTACCGACAAAAATTTTAAAGAAAAATAAAAAATAAGCAACCGACAACCTCCTAGGTCCCTAGGTGACTTGCAGAAGATGGCCAAGTTTTTAAATTTATTGAGTGAACAATTTGGAACGTCCTTAAGCAATGAAAATGCGCCTGAAAAACGGAAGCGTCCTGAATTCAGGAAGCAAACTGTACACATTGCAAAGGGATGTGTACGCAGCTGTGCCGAGAGCGAGCGCTATATGCGCCGAAGTAATACGAGCGAGCGTCTAGAACGCCGAAATAATAAAGGGCACAACCGACAAGTGGTTATGACAACCCAGGACAAGCCTGTAAGTCGGGTAACACATAAGTGTGTTATTTGCAACAAGGAACACTCTATAGTGAGTTGTTACAAGTTTAAGGACATGAATATTCGCGAGAAATGGGACGCAGTCAAAAAAGCGAAAGTATGTTTCCAATGTTTGTCACCTAACCATAGGAGGTTAGAGTGCAAAGCGAAAAAATGTGGTGTAGAGGGATGTAGAATGTCACATCATCGTATGCTACACCGATACCCCAATGAAAATACCTCGCCACAAGGGGACGAGGGGGGGTAAAGAGGCTCAGATTACAACTATTAGTACAGTAAATGCACTGGCATGTGCATACTTAAAGATTATACCAGTCGAGTTGTATGGACCTAGAGGAAAGGTCAAGACAACAGCTCTTCTGGATGAGGGATCGACCATGACACTCATAGAGGAGTGGATGGCTCAGAAGTTACGCCTCGCGGACGTAAAGAGGAATTACGTATTGAAGCCGTGGGAGGTAAGCGAATTAACGAAGACAGTTCGTATCGCTTAAACGTTAAGATAAAAGGCATTTACTCGAGCGACTTAGAAGAGATAAGTGTACAAACAATTAAGTCACTTAACCTTGCTCCTCAGTCAGTAAGTCGAGTAAGAATTATTGCAACGGTGTTCTCATTTGACACCGATTAAGGATGAGTTGATATATGAGAAGTCCAGACCTACCATATTAATTGGCCAGGACAATTGGCATCTCATAGTTACTCGTGAATTAATTTCAGGAGGTAAGAACCTACCTGTAGCATCGCTCACCAAACTCGGATGGGTTTGACATGGTTACATATCGGGTGGTATTAAACCAATCAAGATTGTTAACCACATTTCCACCAAGAAGGAGGAAGATATGGATAAGTTGATCAAGGATTATTTCAGTTTGGAATCTCTGGGAGTGTCTGCGCGAAAGCCCGCAAACGACCCGGAGGAACGAGCTTTAAATATTTTGAACAAAACGGTACGTCGTATACCTAATAATAGGTACGAGACTGCTTTGTTATGGCGCACAGACAAGGAGTGCATGACGTCGAACAGAGCGCAGGTTGAAAGTCGCCTGTTTCATATCGAAAAGAAGCTCGACAAAAATAGCGAGTTGAAAAAGGAATATGAGAAGCAAATTGAAAATCTCATCATTAAATGCGTAAATGCGTTAAGAAAGCAAGAACCTTTAAGTCTACCCGACTACGTACGATTTAGCAGCTTTAAGAAATTCCTTGGGGCAACTACACGCACCTTACAAGCGGTAGAAAAATTCAAGAGTCTAAGAAAGTCGGTTAAAGGACCCGACGACGCAACCGAAAAGTCGGTTATGTGTTCCAACAAAGTTTTAGCAAAGTCGGTTAAAGGACCCGATGGCGCGTTGGACATAACGCTCTTGAAAAAAGCGGAATTATTAATTTGGAAGTTTGTTCAAGACGAGTGTTTTTATTCGGAAATAAAATGCTTGAAAGCAGGCAAAAGCGTTGAAAGAAGTTCACGCTTAAGTAAATTATCTATGGAAATAGGAGAGGATAACTTACTCCGTTTAAATGGACGTTTACCTTTCAAGTCTAATTTGACCGAGGAAAGTAGAAAACCTGTCATATTGGACGGTAAACACGAAATCGTTAAAATAATGATTAGAGAAGTTCATCATCATTTTGGACATGCCAATCACCAGACGGTGATGAATGAGGTGAACCAGAAATTTTATGTCTTGAACTTGCGTAATGCAGTATGTAGTGTGTCACACCATTGTCAGTGGTGCAGAACGTACAGGTCAAAACCGCAGAACGTGCCACAAGGAAATATCCCTCTGGAAAGAATAGCTCATCATGAACCACCTTTTACATGCTCAGCTGTTTATTATTTCGGTCCTATGAGCGTGACTACAGGAAGGCGACACGAAAAACGTTGGGGTGTTTTATTCACGTGTCTGACCACCAGAGCAGTACATCTGGAATTAGCAGCCTCATTGACACCAGCGTCAATGATAATGGCATTGAGGCGATTTATCGCCAGAAGAGGAAAACCGGCCGTTATATACAGCGATAACGGGACAAATTTCAAAGCTGCGAATAAAGAATTATTGAAGCATGAAAAATGAGTCATTTAAAAAAATATATTAAATGGAAATTTATACCTCCGGGAGCACCGCACATGGGTGGCGCCTGGGAGAGGTTAGTAAGATCGATTAAAATTGCGTTGACCGCTACGCTCAAAGAAAGGAGCCCACGAGAGGAGGTTCTACATACGCTGCTTTTAGAAGCAGAGCATACGGTAAATTCCAGGCTAGGCCAGGTAACGTTCAGTATGGATAGTCCTGAAGAGGGTTTGACACCCAATCATTTTCTTCTGGGACGCTCATGTGGTGATCGACCACCTGGATTATTTTTAGAGCAACATCTGACGGGTCAACTCAATTGGAAAGCTGCACAGAGGTTAGCCGACAATTTTTGGACAAGATGGCTGAAAGAATACATGCCTACTTTAATACCTCGAACAGGTAATAAGGGAAAATTCATGGAACCTAAAGAAGGTGATATTGTTTTGATAATAGATCATTCGTTGCCACGAAATACGTGGCCGAAAGGCAAAATTAGTAGAACGCTACCGGGACCAGACGGTCACACCAGAGTGGTTGACGTCATTACTAGCACAGGTATCTTGAGGAGACCTACATCCAGAATAATAGTCCTGGTACCCGTGACGCCTCCCAAATGATGGTGCTAACGCACGGAGGGGAGATTGTTGGCGACGCGCCTATAAGAATATTTCAGTTTATTAAGTCAACCGATGACGAATAGCTTCTAAAAAACAAATTATCGAGCAACAATGTTCTAATAAGAAAATGCTTAGTTAAATCTTGAAGAAATGTCGAATTAATGATATGAAGGTCTTGGGTTCGACTCCCAGGCCGGACTAGTTTATTGTTTTCCTAAGTAATATCTTTCAATAAATTCATATAGGGAATTTTAAGATATAAATTATGTTACCGGATTGGTTCCCCGGTTGAAATCATCTTTCCAATGATGTAAATTTAAAAGAATATTTAAATAAAGTTAGAGATCGGATTTGTTCCCCGGT